TCTTCCTCCTCTTCCTCATAACCACCATAATCACTGTCAACCAAATCAAACATCATCCACACCGCCTTCACCTTCACCTCCACATCCCCACAGCAGCTTCCAGAAAAATCCTCCCACCCTGTGAACATTCTCCTGATTGAATGCCCACCTACTCATTTAAACTCCCCTTGTTGTCACTGTCATAACCATTTTTTTTGCTCCCCAGAAAAATATCAAATTCAAATCTCACCATCAAATTCAACAGCTTGAATCCTTGGAACTGAAGCCACTGAGTTTGATTCTTGTTGTACACAGAGCAAACTGTTCATCTGTCAGATAAAGTGTCACATCCCCACCCTGCCATATATTGCCAAGGTCAACCAAGGGCAATCTCATCATCTCCACCATTGATAATGAGAAAAGGAGCATGCCAAATAAGACCTCAAAATTCTTTAGCCAAATTCTTTCAGCCAATCAAATGGAATAGCAAGAGAAAAAGCAATCAAAACTCATCCTGCAGAATTTGCTGTAGAATCCCTCACTTTGCCCTAGCAATCCATCACAAATACCGCGCCCACCGCGCCACCAGAATATGTCTCAGCTTGGTCACCAAAATGAAGTGGGCAAATCTTGGGAAGGCACCCTCCCATAATATACATGCCTCAGTAAGGGTGGCAGTGGTGTGATGGAATGGCAATTGATTGTATATGCCTGTCAACAACAAACCCAACAGGAAAACAATACCATAGAGAATCAGGGAGATGAAGATAGGGTGCTCTCAATCTTGTACAGCAGTGGAATCTCATTGTGCCAGTCATATGGCAATAACATACAAACAACCAACACCTCCATACTGGAAGGTCGGAATAGTAGGAACAACCAAATAGAAGAAATAGTGAATTGTATAATCTATCTAGTAAGTAGAAACATGAATGAAAGATAAGATAGTACAGTAGCATGCCTCCTCAAAGGGGAGACAGCAATCTGGTCAAGTGAAATTCCAAACAGGACAAAAAAAGATGCAATCCAATTGAATCTCAGACAATCAGCTCTCTAGGGACCAACCTGCTATGCTGTCAACCCCCAAACAGAGCATTTGCCAGTTCATGGCATCTTTCCCCATTCAAGAGACAATGGTATCATATTGGAGCATTTATCTTGCAGAAGTGGAAAATCACCTTCCACTCATCAAAGTAAAAAGTGTGGACCATTGCGCCCCGTTGCCACAGGTTGGGTGTCAATCAGCATGGTTGTGAGAAACTGGAAACATTTGGCAGTTTGGCTTGCAAGAATGATTCATAAACCTTGTAACAGAATCAAATTTTCTCCCATCAACAACATAGATACCATCACCATCCCAATCCACAAGAAAGTCTAGTGAAAATAAGTAGCTCACTCTATTATTTGAGGCAGCAGCTTCACAGCCATCAGCCTCAACTTTTGTCACCACTTCACCAAGGTGGCAGTCAATGTATTGACCAGCCTGGATGAAATCTGCCAACCTTAGTCCTATAGTTGGCCATGTAATGTTGGCATTAATGTTGGTATACCCATTTCTGCAATTGTGCATACAAAATCCTCAATTTCAGGTTTGAAATATTTCAAGATGAATGGCTCTTCCTTGCTCAACAATCTTGTTGTTGCCACAGGTTGGGTGTTGATCAAAACTGGAAACATTTGGCAGTTTGGCTTGCAAGAATGATT